CCCCCCCCCCCCCCCCCACTGCTCTCCAACATGGTGGGCGTAACGCACGTGAAACACTCTATCGCTCATTCGCTCCACACCTTGACCTTCCATTTTTAATATCGGCGCTTTTTCACACGAGAAGACTGGGAGCCACGCGCTTCGGGGGCGGGGTAGAGGACGGGCGAAAACATGTGACGTCATACTTAACAAATGCTAGCCCAAAATTGACCAAAACCTGCCAAAACCAGCCGAGTAAAGGGTCTAGGCTTTCATCGACATTATTAATTATATTTAACAGTTATTCTACGAACTCGAGTCGAATATGAGCTATTAGTATAATTCATAGGTATAATTACATAGGTGATTATTGGAAATTCTCCACGCTGATTGGTTACCGTTGAGGTGATTATAACTCGATAATCACCTAAGCGATCTTCGAAATGGCGGCCGAAGCAGTTTCGTCAATTAAACGACGAAGAAATATGTATTTTTTTATTTTTTCCCAAATAATCACCTATGAAATTATACTATTTCAAAGGCGAACAACTTGCCGTTTTCTCGTTCGCAAAACGTCGGAAATTCAGTTTGAGCCGCCATTTTGTTTTTCTCTATTACCAGGATATGAGCTAATATCCTGCTAGTAGAGAACCAAACATATTGCAGAATACCTCATATCCAGACCTTGTGTATATAAACATCAATATTTCATGTTTGAAATGATCAATTAATATTACCACGCGATTTGAAATTGTTGATTATGGAATAATGCCGTTGAATTGGGGCCGAAGCATTTAATATTGACCGCATTTTTTGTGTGCGATAATTTGGTATAAGGGGCGGACCATTAGAAATCCCGGGAGGGGGGGGGAAAATTCCCCCAAAAAAATTCGTGCAAAGAAAAATGCCTGGAAAAAAATTCGTGCAGCCATTACGTCAGAGAAAAAAAATTCGTGCAAGCAAACAGTAAAGTACAAATAGTTCTGAAAAAAATTTCGTGCAGAGGTTAAATGCATTAAAAAAAATCCTGCAGACATGAGACTGAAAAAAAATGCGTGCCGCAAAATTTTTATCCTTCTCCCGGGATTTCTAATGGTCCGCCCCTAATTGTGAGGACTTGCAATTTACATAGACATTATTCATTAAGTTCCTTTTCTACCAAATATCACTCAAACCTTTCATATTTCGATCATATTTCATGGACTCATGGATACTTTTTAATTTCAAAAGGTGACGTGATGAAATGTTGATGTGACGAAAAGAGATATTGAAAAGAGATGATGACCAAAAAGAGCCACTCGCGAATGACATGGAGAGCTATGGAGGCAAGAAAAGAATGACGATTCGCAACAATCGGAAACCACAACATTGCTAATATGAAAGCAGCGGAAAATTTACCAATGACCAATGTAAGTTAGTTAAAGACAAAATACTTATTTAAATATCAAAGGGGATTCAAGTGAATACAATGATTTTCTCATTGAAATTAAGCATGCTACGAGTTTGGCGATTTTTTTCGACTTTGTTTTCCAAATTTTCGGAGTATAGACTGTGAATAATTGCCCTCAAAATCAGGTAAAACGTTTGAATAAAACTTTCAAAAACACGGTAACGCAGTGTTCTTGCGACGAGCTAGAGTCTGCATGGTAACGTATCATTTCATAAAAGTGTTTTTGAAAACAACAAAAAAGTTTCCAAAATTGATAGCAGAGAACTGTTTGTATAAAAAAGATCGAAGCAACGATACCTTAAAAAGATGAAATCTTGCCTGGAATATTTTCGATTGTAGTCTTTTCTGAAAACAAAATATTAATCCGCGTCACCCATATAGTTAATGTAAAATAAACATGGCTTAGAATCTAGCACCAAGCATTTCCTCTTTTTCATTGTAAGTTGGTGTTGCGGATAATAAAATCACTGTCGCGGATGCGTGGGATATAAGTCCTGTATTCACAATGAAATCAACATACGATGAAAACAAGCAACCCCTAGTTTTTCAAGCGTTAAAAAGTTAAGAATTGGTGGATTTATTTTCCGTGTGTTTAATTCCCATGGGAATATACTATACTTTGTTTTTATGCCATTTTTTTTTATTTTGCGCAAACGTAAAGGTATTTTGCAATTTTATTTTTTCCCGTGATTTTTAATTCCCAGGAGAATATATATGCTTTGTTTTCATGTTGATGTTGATTTCATAGTTGAAATTTGACTTTATAATGATGAATCCTCTTTGATTAAATATGATAAGTATCTTGTTTGTGCGCGCTAAAGCAAATTACGGAAGTGGTTTGAGAGCAGCTGCGACGTGCCATGCAAATGATCATCAAGGCGTTCCGGTTAAATGAGTATGAGAATTGCGGTTATAAGTCCGTTTCGATCTGTTTGAACTATATTAAGAAAGAGTACTATTATCTATATGCTCACTAAATTAGCTAGCGACATTGTAATTTTCATTTGGATTTTAAATTCTTATGAAAAAGTTTTAAAAATAATTCTATGCATTCTCATGCTTATTTAATCGAGCCTATATGGTTTAGGTAAGTTTAAGGTTTGTATTTATTTCGGACCAGTTAACAAAACTCAAGCCCAGACCCTTTCAGTTAAGATTTTACGTTTCGAACCACAATCCAAAAACCTCAGTCTAAGTGGGTTATAGGATAGCTAGTGATAACGTAATTTATCTTTTTATTTTGCTTTTTTGTTTATAACGTAATTTATTAGCTAAATGTATGGAGTGCGAGAGTGTGCGCCGTGTGTATAGGATGCATGGGGTTAGGCTAAACTAAAGGAATTAAAATTTTGACGGCATATTTACGGTAAAAAGAAAATATATTTTTCTGAACAAAAGGACTAATTTACTAACGTCAGCAAAATTTGTTCCGAAAATTATTGTCTGCTATAGTAAAGTATATAGAAGGAAAATTCGGATTTCGTATATCTTTCTATATAAATTGCATGTATATTAAGAGCAAGTAACAAACTCACCTGTTTGTATACGCGGTCTTTCTCAATTTATCTGTTTACGTTTGGCTATAAAATATCCGATTAATTAAATTAATTATGTATACTTTACCAAAATTTTATTTCCTTCAGTTTTACGGGTGGGCAGTTCGGGCTGGTGGCAGATTGGGCAGTTGTGAGTGTCTGTGTGATGGTGAGGAAAGCGGAAGTTACGAATGGAATGCAGGTAGCTCAGGACCAAGGCAGACAGCTTAGGACTGAGGCAGACAGCTTAGGATTGAGGCAGATAGGCAGTTGGTAGGAATCAGTGGGGGGCACTTGTCATTTCGGCCATGGGATTCAAAATTTGCATGTCGAGTATTTGTTACTAATGCTTGTTGTTTTACATTTGTCAGGTATGCGCGTGGCTGCTCTCAAGAGAAGATCGACTTAGCAATTTGCATTATTTTGCATTTGCAAGGTTGGTCTTCTCTTCGTCTAGCTACCCCGGCTGGCTCTCCGAGTGCTACCTCTACTTTCAGTAGAAGCACTTCTACTATATAGTAGAAGTACTTCTGCTTGAAGTAGAGGTAGTACTTGGGGAGCCGGCCGGGGTAGGGGGATTTTTTTTATTTTTTTTTTCAATTCCCATGGGAATTGAATTTTTAATTAAAAAGGAGTCTTTTGTATAATTAATGAACAATTTATTGAAAAGAATTTGTAAATATTACAATTTGAATAACAATAAAAAGAGAACAACCACTGCATACGTATTTAAGTAACAATAGAAGAAAACAGAACATGGCACAAAGTGAACAATTAACATTGTGTTTAACACAAGTGAATAAGCACAAGTGAAAACACAACATATTAAACTTGTTTGCCCGCAAATTAACATTAAAGTTAATTCTTGCGGAAACAAGAGAACCTGGTCTTTTCAAGATAAATTGTTTATACTTCAAAATAAATATTGTAAAACAACTCTAATGATAAATTTTACCATTTTTGAGAAAATCACATTTGAGAAATCGAAAGCGTATGACACCAGGTTGTTTTACAAAGAAAATATATGGCTCAAAGACAAAGTAAATCGAACATGCTTTTACTTTTTTGAATACAACGAACTGTTTTTAGTAAAGTGACCAAAATGTTCGCTTGAGTATGGAAAATAATGATTTTATCGCGATGTTTAGATGTTAAGAGTAAGAGAAGTCCATTCGTTGTAATGCGAGATCAGTTGTCAAGTGGTTGGCAAGAAATAATTGTCGTTGACAACAAATTCCATTGCCATTGCTCAAAGCAAATTAATTTCCTCAAAGTACCTTAACATTTTGACAATGCATTGACAGCAAACTTCATTAAACTCAGAAATGATATTTTTAAACATCGAAACATTACGATTAAATCATTGGTTCCATACTCAATTTAACATATTTATAAGTACATTTCTTTCACATGCCAAATCACGAAATATTTAAGAATTTGAAATGATCTCGGTCTTTCAAAGCCATATATATTTGAGTGCCGTTTCTAACCTGACAACTTTGAGTTGATTATACATATAATGTTAATACCAATTCAAGTGATGAAAATGCAGTTCAACAAAATTTTAAAAGAATGTTATCTCTCCAATTCATTTTTGGAACAAAAATTCAGTTTCAATTTGCTTTTGCTTAAAATGATACATTTCTCGTCCTCGATAAATACAATAAATTTCACTTCGGGAAAAGTTGTCCTGTTTTATATTATTTATATATTAAAAAAACCACTTCAGGAAATATTTTTGATGCAAACATGTAGCAACTATGTCCATGTACATTAACACACAAAATATGTTTTAAATTACTCAAACTTTCAAATGTTCATAAAATATTTCTTCTTTTTTTTACACTTTTATTTATATTGGTCAAACCTAAAAGAAAATTTTCAATAGGAAAAGAGCTTATTGTTTTGCATAATAAAAACAGGAAATAAGTTTTGGGTATACTTTGTTAACTCAAAAGTAGACAAAAAACAATTTTGCTCAAGTCCTCACAACTCACAAGGAACAAGCAGTTCCATACAATCTTTAGAATCTCTCTCAACAAAAAATATTATATTGCATTTTCATCATTTTCTAGTATTATCATTAACATTAGCAAACCAAACACAAACATCAAAAGATATATACAGTAGTAGGTTGTTGATTCAACATACACAATTTCATTGGAAGGTCACAAAGATTGAGTTTTAGTTCATTTTGGACAGCACTCTTGTCAGGTTAAAAACAGACCTTTTTGAAGTACAAACTTACCTTTACATACTTGTTGAAAAGACCATGTTCAAGTGCCATGTAACCTGTTTGCTTATATTATTATTATGACTATTATAACAAATCATTATAAAGTGGAACTTTAAAAAATAATGTCGAACTGAAGCAAAAGAAATAGATGTAGCATGAACTAACAAATTAATTTTAATTGTCAAACAATTATTAAATTATGAAACAAATGTACAACCAGATAATAAAAAATAAAAATCTTCTCATCTCAGTATCCAAACCAAAGATAAAATTAATATGAGAGTTGTAGGTCAGATATTATTAAAATAGAATTTTAAAATCTAGAACTTTTTATTCAAACTATAAAATTTGGTACATAAAAAGCATCTCAGTCATTGCCTATCTTGTGTGCCATGAAACACACACAAATTTTGATGGATACTAAAAATATGGTTAATTCTGTGCTTGAATTTTGATTCAAATCTTATCAAATTACCATTGATTAATTATATGTAGTACAAAGAACTGTCAATCTTGACTGAACTGTCAAATTGCTTTACAAGATAATCAATATATACTTTTGAATGCCGATTGTTTTTCATTCCCTATAATACAAGACATATTCCAAAGATCATCCTGCAGTCTGGTTGTGGTTTTCCTTGCCATGTATAAGAATCAATTTTCTTTTATTTTCTGCAACTCACATTACCCCCAAAATTAAGTATTATGTGCTGAGCTTCAGTTCATCCATATTCAAATAAGTTCCACTTTGTAATGAAGTAAAGGCAATATCCTAGCTTATTTCAACCTTCACTGTTTGTTTTAAAGTTGGGAAAGATTTTTAAAAATCACAAAGCTTGTTCTGAAATTAAAATTTTGTTGAAAACCACAATGTGGTTGGCACAAGAATAAAAAAAAACAACTGAAGAACACAATCCTCCTACAAGTCAGTATTGTATAAAACTGCTTTGTTCCTCAACAAATCCATTTTATTTGTGTCCAGGAATAATCAAACTCATGTATTAAGAGTCTGCTGGGATAAATAAGACAGGACTATTGAACAACAAGGCAGTTCTAACAGTGCTAATTTTAAAAGTATTGTATACTTCAATTGATCACTAATTGCTTTTTGTATGATTCAATATCTGAAGACATCAGAATCAACATTGAAAGAAACATTACATTGTGATTTTCAGATTAACATTCCAAACTTTCAACAAACACTGATAGTCCACTTAAACAAGAGAAGATTGAGATGGAACATAAGTTTACTGTTTTCACTATGCACTTCAATAAGTTCAAAACATAAATTACGATGAGACAAATATGTTCATCAATATTCTTTTAATCCTTTAATGAAAACATACTCCAAATTAATACCGATCGAAACATGAAAGATGACTAAAAGAAAATACTCAATCCTGAATTAAAAGTAATAAAATCACACGTGTCTTATTTGTAAGTAACTGCTTTGGTTTGGTTTGTAATAAAAACCACCTCAATCTTCTCAATGTTTAACTGATGTAACAAAGCCAGATAGTGACAAACTTTTCATTTTTTTATATTTGACAAAAACTTTGGAAATATGTAGAAACAACTATGTTCTCAGGTAGAACACGTATAAACACAAATTTAAGATTTAGCATTTATGCCAAACAGAAAAATGCATATCCGAACCAAATCATCACTGTTCAACAAATTTTTGACAGTTTATCATTTTCTGGCTTGGTCATTAAATTCTTATATGCCTTGAAAATTATAACCTTTCTGTGATCAGCGGCAACACAAAACATTATCAAATAATTGAGGGATCACAAAACTGAAATTTTCCAAATTAATACATGTCGAAATAGTGGTGTAATAAAAGAATAAAAAGAGTTCAATTATTGCGCACTCACCATATTTAGAATGTGTTTATTATTTTTTGTTGTATTTTGTGTCATAAGTAACATGGTCATGCTATTTTTGTAATATTCTGCTGGGACTGATCACAGGCAATCATATAATGTTCAAAACATTTCATGTAAGATAAGACAGGAAAATATTAAGACCTTTTATATACTTTCCAATAACAGTGTTCACTTTTGTGGTCAAAAACACTTCAGCCAACAAGTCTCGAGACATTCTTTGAAATAGCAACACACATCTAGATTCTAGAAAATTTAAAAAACTCACTATTGAGAATATGGAACAAATTAATATATTACAAAGAAAATTGTCCAAGAAATACAAGTCCTGAGAAGGTTAGAAATAAATAGAAGAAAAATAATTTACCTCTTATTCAGGATCTTGGAATGTGGGGTTGTGCAACATTCTTGGAACTTGAACTGTACATCTACAAAAAATTATGAGAATTTTACTGAGGGTGTGAATAGCTTGGTTAGTGAGATAAAACCCAATATAAACATATGAGTCTGAAACAAAACAATATCCTATGGTTTTACTTTTTCAGCCAACCCTATTTGCTCTGCTCTAATGGGTTCTCTTCTAGATATGGTTGGGTTGTTTGCTTACCTACCTACTCTATTTTTTGTTGTTTGCTTTATGATGTAACTTGATACCAAAAATATTGTCTGTTGCTCACAGTTAGTGCTTCTTGAAATGTTTATATGTTGGGGAAACAGGGTTTGAATTAGCCATTCCGAAGTTGATGAGTGGATTGGGAACCAGTGTTAAAAAGTGCCCAAATTAAGAAATGAACCAAATCACTAAAAAGACCACCTCAAAATTAGTAAGTATACAAAGTTTGAAGACATTTACATGAATACCCTTCGAATAATAGCTTTCGAAAATTGTGTTATTTACTATGAAATGTATTGTAATTCGTTGTTTGGGATGCGTGCAGACCTGCCAAGGTTCCCGCATTTCGCGTGAAAGTTATGCATTCTGCTTTTGTTCCCGCTGTCCCGCATGCATAACTAAAATGATCTTAAAGTTACGCATTTTTACCATTATATGACACTATCCCACTTTTCGTACAATAACTCATTGACAACGCTTTGTGCAAACGTAGAATTAGAGTTAACGTCAGAATTAGCGTCAGACGCATCGTGGCCTGTGGTGCCAAATACGCTTTCTGACGATCTGGAGACTCAAAATTTCCAAAATTTTCTCAATTGTCCTAGCCACATTAAACTGTAAGTAACACTGCCATATTGATCGGTAGTTATTTTACTTATCTTCATTGTTAGGCAGTAGTAAAACATTTAAATCTTGGGTAGGAAAGACTCTAAAAATGCTATTTCCGATGGTCTAGAGAATTCAAATTTTCAACTTTTTTTGCTTGGCGCAAACCATGATGACACCTTGCAGGCATTGCAAAATCAGGTGAATTGAAACAATTCAGGCAGTAAATCTAACCTCCCCCCCCCCCAAGGCAAAATCCTCGCAACAGCCCTGGTCACACATTCTTATCTTCCAAACTTAGCAGGTCTGTGCACATCCCAACAACAATCTTTTAATTAGTAATTTCACAATTTTCGAACATCTTCAAACTTTGTATATTTACTAATTTTGAGGTGGTCTTTTTAGTGATTTGGTTGGTTCATTTCTTAATTTGGGCACTTTTTAAAGCCCGTCTCCAGTCCTTTTGTCAACTTCGGAATGGCTAATTAAACAGGAAGAATCGATTCGCAAATTTCCTTCTTGAAAATTTGAAGGAAATTTTAGTTTTGAAAAGTGGAAACACTGCTTGCAAAAAAAACAAAATGGCAGTCGTTTCGTAGCAAAATTATTTTGTAAATATTCTGAAGAAATTGTAGCCTGCATAGCAGGCGCTATTTAGGGGGGAGGGCAAGGGTGGGAAAAGCTAGGGGGGAATGCGAAGGCGAGAGCGAGGAAAAATTGAAGGGGCGAGAAAGAAATAGCGCCTGCAGGAAAGCCATATGTTTTCCCATCTGCCCAAGTCCCGCCCATTAAAAAACAAGCCAATCAGTGATTAGACGCAACTAATGGTTTTCCCAATGACAGATCTGGTTTCACAACAGTATGCATAATCATAGTTAATGCGTGTGTACACTATAAAGTGTATTTCTATGTTTAAAACGCAAAAAAAATTGTAAAAAAGCAGGTAGAAAAGCGAAATAGGCAAGCGCTAACGATACATGCAGGTTTTGCAACAGCAATCTAAAAACAGTATGTGAAAGTGAGCCTTCCTTTGAAAATTTGTGTAAGCCGTCAGACAGACAATGCAGTCAGAATTTGATTTCAGCGAACGCGTGCGAGTCCATTGGCTTTAAGTTGATCGAGTGTGTAAACCTTGTAAGGAAAATAAGGAACGTTGCTGAACTATATAAATTTGTAAAGGAAGAACGATAATTAAAGAACAAAATAACACGGTTTCAGATGACCTGAGCGAGATAAGCAAAACGCAGTTGCCAAGAAATCACACAACGGAAGTGTATAAAGAAAGAAATTAAATGTGTGTGTCAAATCTAGTACTAGAAAGTCTTTTCCTCGACACAGAAGGAGATTCCCCATCGCAGGACAAGTTGTTAACAACAACGACAGCAACTCGAAGCGGCAACTTTCTCGATCAATTGATAGCGAATAGATTATAAGTTAGTAAGTTGAAAGTGATTATAGCGTATAAACTATAGTGATTATAGTAATTATAGTGATTTAAACATCCACGGACGAGAAACATTGCCATTCCATATCTTTTGGCTGGTCTTTAATATAAACGCTATTCAATGGGGATGTTACAATAATAGCTGCTTTCCCTGACGTATGATAATCACGCGCTCGTACGAAAGCTTGGTAAATCAAACTTTTGCCATAAACCTGTCAGTAATACAGCAAAAACATCTTTCCCTTTTAAAAGGTCCCGAACTGCTTTATCTTGCTCCTCTTTCAGTTGAATACAGTGGCCAGTCGCCAACTAAATACAGCTAATCACTTTAGGAAGAACTTCGTCAATACTAAGGCCGCTATTTTGAACTAAAACCACAGGGAATATAATTGGGAAACCCCTGATGACTGATTAGCCAATCAGAATTTCGCGTCCGCTCACGGACGCGAAATATGAGAAAACATATGGCTTTCCTGCAGGCGCTATTTCTTTCTCGCCCTTTCCATTTTTCGCCCTCCCCCCCCCTAAATAGCGCCTGCTACGCAGGCTAAAGAAATTGTAGCCATATTCTTCATTTCACACATCCTTTTAGTACAAAATACAATAATAATCAGCAAAATACTCCATTATAGCAAAATATATTCAAAGTGATTGTGAAAATCAACCTTTGACACACTGTTTTTGCAAAACGCTATTCACAAAATGGATGATTTTGCATTCGCAAAATTTGAATTTTGCGCAATATGCCAACTGATCACAACAATTGCTGACCAATGTTGTCAAGCCAAAAAATATTTGAAGAAAATTTGTTTTATTTGACCTACCTATCCTACATTTTTCAGGATATGAAAACTGAACCACATTTTTTGTAATGTTCAAAATTGATCAGAAAAATGCCGACCAATTGACCATTTGCATAATAGACTAAATTTTGATCTCAACAAAAATTTCATCACAGCTTGAAAGAGCATCACAAAATTAGTAATATTCCAAAGTTTCGTTGCGAAATGTTGTAAAATGCGGAAAATATAGCCTTGCGAAGTTTGCAATTTTCAGTCATTTTAGATTACAAATGGGAAATTGACAGCACCAAACCCTCTGAGGCTGTCAATTTCCCGTTTGTAATCTAAAATGACTGAAAATTGCAAACTTTGCAAGACTATATTTTCCACATTTTACAACATTTCGCAACGAAACTTTGGAATATTACTAATTTTGTGATGCTCTTTCAAGCTGTGATGAAATTTTTGTCTAGACTTGTTTAGATAAAAATATAGTCTATTATGCAAATGGTCAATTGGAAATGTTAAAATTTGATTGGATTTTTTTTTCAACTTCATTTCGACTTCAGGCATCTGCTGTACTGGTAAATCAAGTTAATATGCTTTTAAATTTAACAAATACTGTCCTTTCTATTTTTTAGCATTCTCTGAATCCTTGCCAGCCCATGTCGAAAAAAGGCTTTACATTGAGTCTGGAGTAGATGCGCTTCAAAAGAACAATCTTCTTTTCAAACCACCCTAAGAACTTATATTATATAATAACTACAGTGAAACATGCAATTTGATTGGTCAATAAGCTGTGCAGGATCAGGCTATATCTTGCACAAGGAATTAAAATACATTTGCACTTTGGAATTCGCAAAATGTCATTGTAGCACTGTAGTTATTTTATAAAACAATTACTAAATGGTTTCCCAAGCAGGATAGCGAGATCCATGCACTTGGGATGTTGCTCGACTTTTGGAAAGTGTAAAAATACACTAGCCTGCGGCTCGAGTATTTTTACACTTTCTGAAAGTCTTGCAACATCCCTTGTGCATGGATCACACAATCCTGCACGGAAAAAATTGGTACCGAGAAGTCCCACCAACATATGACCGCATCTCCTAACTTTTCACTACCAGCCTGCAGTGATGTCAAGAAACACAATTCTGGATTTTGTCTTATTGTTAAGCCTAGTTCTCATTCATTGCAAACCGTCGGCAATGGGAGCTTTGCGACGTCAGCGACCACTTGTGATTTATGAGAACACATCAAAAATTATATCGCCGATTGTCCGTAATCGTCGCCAACCATCGGCGATGACATCGCAGGAAACAAAAAAGTTTGTTTTTGCGACCATCGCCGACTGCCACCTGCTTGAAAAACCTATGAGAAATGAGTAAAAGTTTTTTTCCTCAACAAGCAAGGAAATAATCAACTGAAGTTTGACAGAAATCATGAACTTTACGTTAAACAGGGCCATTTTGTGCCTTGGTGGGAAATTTCGAAACACATCGGCTGTCATCTGCGACGATCACCGATATATGAGAACTTTCGTGCATTCGCGATCGGCAAGCATCGGTGAGCATCTGTGATAACCGTCGCCAATCGTCGGTGACGGTTGGCGATGAATGAGAACTAGGCTTAGCAATTTTCACAAGCAAGAATCAAATACATTGTAAATTTGTAATGTTGCGATATAAAAAGCAAGGCTTTTCTGCATATAAAATGAACAAAAACACAATTTTCGGCAAGAACTCACAGATAACAACAACTTTTTTCGGCAAAGTAAACAATTCTAGATCTTAGTTAGTCTTTATACTCACTTGGTCGACAATGATTATGAATTAAAGAACGGTTTAAAGTTCGACAATCGCCCATAAAGCGAACCACGTGCAAAGCAAAAGCACAAACTTTATGTCGAAATATCGCATTAAATTCGGGTTCGATGTCCTAAATTTCCATCTATATTGGCAATCTAAGTACTCTACTACAAGGATTGATATTAAATAAAGCATATTACCTTCCAATAAAGTTAAAGTTTGATAAAAAAATATGCTCTATTTTTCTTCCTTGCTTCTCCAAATTTCTTCACCCCGCGCCAGCACGCCGCGGTAAAAAATAAAAATTCGGAAATGCCCGGCACTCCGTCAGGATCTCGGCACTGTACGATGCAAGTCGACAAATTCCGAGCTAAACAGTTTTCCCGCACACGCGTGTTTCTCACGCGCCTGGGACGAGGCTGGGTAATTACTACGGTAATTTCAGAACTACCGTGGTAATTTTTCGTCAATTTTGGCCGATTGTGGTAATTTGAAATTTCCAGACGAAATCGAACACTTGTCAAGAACGTTTTCGGCCGATCCAAATATCAAATGAAATTTCCCCGATTTTATGTCCTCTATGTTCGGTTCGTCACGTGAGGAACCTTGTCCTCAGCGTGAGGAACATTGTCCTCAGCGCCAGGAACCTTGTCCTCAGCGTCTGGAGCCTTGCCCTCAGCGTCAGGAACCTTGTCCTCAGACCTCAGCGTCAGGAACCTTGTCCTCAGCGTCAGGAACCTTGTCCTCAGCGTCAGGAACCTTGTCCTCAGCGTCAGGAACCTCGCGAAAGCCCTCGGAAGTTTTTACTCTTGTGCAATCGAGTGAGATCATATAAATTTGATTATCGCGTATCATGTTTATTATGACTATTATAAAATAGATCGAAATTAACAAAGCAAAATCACACAGTTCACGAAACAGACATCTTTAATTAACAGACATCCTTAGAACAAATCACATTTCACGACATTAAAATCAAGCATTTCACATTTCACGGGAACAAATATTGACCATTCACGGCTCATGCACGAAAATACCCTTTCCCACCCTCAATTTTGTTTTCTAGTAATTTAAAAAATAAACCCTCGTGCCAAACCGAGTCAAAACTCACTCAAAAACGTCTTTGGAATCTACGAAACATGCATAGATTTTGTCATTTTTGTTCTGTTTTAAATGTGTTTGTCAATTAATGTTTTCAAAGTAAAAATATGGTCAGCAGTTCTATGACCGGATTGAAACCCAATTTGCGATGGATGTATTAAGTTTTGTTCAAGACTAAATTGACTTGATCGTTCATTTAGAACAATACAGTCTTACAGAGGAACTTGCTCAGACAGCTTGTCTGCACGCAAATCCCTCGTACACAGCCAGAAACGCGCAAGTTGCAACAAGTCTGTTGACAACTTGGAACAGACCTGTTATCAACAAGCCGATATCAGGATGCGTTCGCATGGCTTGCGACAGCTTGTTGACAACAAGTCTGTTCCAAGTTGTCAACAGACTTGTTGCAAGTTGTCATCAACAGACTTGATGCAAGTTGTCACGAACAGACTTGATGCAAGTTGTCACGAACAGACTTGATGCAAGTTGTCACGAACAAACTTGATGCAAGTTGTCATCAACAAACTTGATGCAAGTTGTCGTCAACAGACTTGATGCAAGTTGTCGTCAACAGACTTGATGCAAGTTGTCACGAACAGACTTGATGCAAGTTGTCACGAACAAACTTGATGCAAGTTGTCACAAACAGACTTGATGCAAGTTAAGTTGTCACAAACAGACTTGATGCAAGTTAAGTTGTCGCCAACAGACTTGATGCAAGTTGTCACGAACAGACTTGATGCAAGTTGTCGCGAACAGACTTGATGCAAGTTGTCACGAACAGACTTGATGCAAGTTGTCACGAACAGACTTGATGCAAGTTGTCATCAACAGACTTGATGCAAGTTGTCACGAACAGACTTGATGCAAGTTGTCACGAACAAATTTGAATAGTTCGCACTTCGCAGTTGTTTAAATTTTGTTTGAATCAAAAAGCACAGAATACTACACAGAAGTCCATCTCCATTGTTTTTAGCGTAAGTTCTATTCGTCATGATTCGTCACTCAGCAAGTACCGTAAACGGAAGCAGTCACCCCCCTGGAAATACTAAAAATGGCGTATGTTCAGGGGGGTGACTGCTTCTGTTTACGGTACTTGCTGAGTGACGAATCATGACGAATAGAGCTTACGCAAAAAAACAATGGAGATGGACTTCTGTGTAGTATTCTGTGCAAAAAGTAAACTGACAAAGTGACAAACTATAAAGACAAAAACAACTGAACATAATTACGTGATTGATGTTTGTAATATTTCGTCCAATTGCAACGAGCAATCATGACGCGTGCATACGCCTTTATCCAATGAGATTAAAGACATATAGCGATAGCACACGTCAGCAAGTTGTTCCTAAATTTTCATTTTTATAAAATTTTTAATTATTTCATTTGCGACTTGCGACAATTTTTCTACAGCTGTCGATTTCAACTCATCTAATTTTATTCATCCGAAATAGCTGTATAGACTGCTGACTGCAAAATAATCCTTTTGATTTAAAATACAAACATATCCATTGTTAAATATTCATGTATAGAGCGATAATAATTGAGGAAACTGATTTTCACGGCCGAATTAGCCAAACAATAAACAAAGTCTGTATAGCTGTGAACAAGTCAAATGGATTTGTTATTAACTTGCAGCAAGTCTGCAAATGTCAAGTTGCAACAAGCCTGATTTTAACAGACTTGCTGCAAGTTGTTTTATCGGACTTCGGGACTTGTCAAGACTTAATAAGTTCTTTGTATGATTACATGGCGATAAAACATATTTATAATAAGTTCTTTGAATGTTTGCATGGCGATAAAATATAATTGTTTTTGTTTGTGGAAACAGTAATAAATAATAAGTAATAAATTTACGTGGTGTTTCCACAAACAAAAACAATTATATTTATAATAGTTTTGTTTGTAGAAACACCACGTAAGTTTATTACTGCAAAGCTTTCGATCCGTAAGCCCGGATCTTCATCACTGCGAAGACGAAGACGGCCAAGCGCTTAAATTTTCGCGGCAATTACAACTACGTTTGCTTAAACGCACGTATGTTTTTCGAATAGTCGGTTGTTCATAATAATTACAATAAAACGTTTGTAACGTCTCAAGTTTAAATCATGAGGCCGCAATTTGCATCAAGGTTGTTCCAACAACTTGACGCAGGCTTGAAAATATCAGCTTGCAACAAATCTGTTAAGAACAACTTGCGACAAGCTTGTTGAATCAACAATGCTGTTGCAAGTTGTTCTAACAAACGTGCTAAATCTTGTCATCAACAGGCTTGTTACAAGTTGTTCCAACAACTTGATGCTGGTTTGATAATATCAACTTGCAACAAGTCTGTTTTAACAACTTGCAACAGCATTGTTGATTCAACAAGCTTGTCGCAAATTGTTCTGACAGACTTATCAAGACTTGTTATACACAGGCTTGCTGCAAGTTGTTTCAACAAGTTGCAACAAGTCTGCAAATGACAGGTTGCAACAAGCCTGATTTTAACAAGATTGTTGCAACTTGATGAAATTAACAAGCTTGTTGCAACTTGTTGACAAGTTGCAACAAGCCGGTAAAGTTGACAACTTGCAACAAGTCTGTGGCGTTTCTGGCTGTGTAGTTATTGACCGGTCATTATTTATGGCGGGGGGTGGCACCGAAGAGAAATGTTTTCTGTGGCAAAAATTTTGCTGACCCAACCATTAAAAAGTAAAAAAATTGATTACCCATGCAACCTCAAATATCAATTAAAAAATAAATACCCACCCCTGGCCAAAAACTATAAAAAACGATACCATCGAGTTGTCACACATGTCCTTTATTACGTCTGTGACATGGGTTTCATAATTGCTTGTGCAATTTTCTGCAGTGTAAAGTTTCATGTTGTCTGCACTTTCTTTGGACACACCACTTGTCCCCCAACAGATCGGAAAATGATCAAGATAGTGACTGTTGACATCGCTTTTTAGTCTCCAATATTTCAGTGAGTCATGCTTTGGAAATGACAATAAATTTTAATTACCCAACCTTTGAGTTGTTTTGTTTTTCGTTTATCCAACCTTTTACTCACTCTAAATTGTTTACCCAACCCTTTTCTCTTCGGTGCCCCCCCCGCTATAAACAATGGCCACTCCATTATTGTGGTTAGTTTTATCACCGGCCTTACAAATAGGCAATTCCAGCTTTTAGTTTATGCATGCAGGGAATGATGGGAAGTAAGGTATCATATTGCTGATTATGCTGAAAAAATAGAAATGGTGGCCGTGTAAACACGAAGTGATAGCTTATACTTGTGAATATTGAAATTATTTCGGCAGTTTTTGTTGAAATTTGTCAGCATAATCAGCAATATGATACCTTACTTCCCATAATCCCCTGCACGCATAAACTAAAAGCTGGAATTGCCTGTTGGCGTGATCAGTCATTCACACCATTGCCATTGGTCTGGAAATTTTCCGCTTTCTAGAATTAGGTTAAAAGTTTTTGGTATCCTTTGAGCAGTATTTTCGCACTGGATTTAAGCATTTCATTTCTTATCTTATCAGAGTATGCGGATTTGTTGGTTTTTTTTAATTTCCTTGCAGCATTATTAATGATTTCGTTTTCTGAGATTGCGGCTTCATCGAGAAATTTGTTTGAAATGTCCTCTTGTAGTTTTTCTAATTGATTTTAGTTTTTCTAATTGATTTAGGGTGTGTTGTTGTTCAGTGCCTATAGCATCGTATGTTTCGCATGCAGAGATTCAAAATAAGTGAGCCAGCTGTTACTGTTAGTAGTAACATTAGCCTAGGCTCACACGTAGAAAGGTCTTCAAGCTCATCACTCATATTCTTTAGTCTGAATTTCCAGAAGGAATTTGGTTCATTTTCAGAAATTGTTTCTAGTTCTCCTAATTACTTTTCATGAAAGATTCCTTTCTTACGTTTTAGCAGTGTTTTTGTAAATCTTAAGGGCAATATGGTATTCGTTTCTTATTTCAACATTGAGCAGATTTGCGGTGTTTTTGATTTGCCAGTTTTCTAACTGAGTGTCTTGATAGTCGACATTCTTTGTCAAACCATTTCTTGTTACAAACATTGTTACTGTAATTTTATTTCCAAATTTAGTCTTTTTAATTTTCAAAGATTTCCTTGCAGTATGTAGAATGATCTCTTCCATCTCAGATTACAGTATAAACGACGAATATCTTAAAGATAGCTGACCCCCCTGCAATCTCGTACGAAATTGACCCTTGATTGACCCCCTTGTCTTGCGTAATAAACTAGCTCGGAATTTGTCGACTTGCATCGTACAGTGCCGAGATCCCGACGGAGTGTCCGGGCATTTCCGAATTTTAAATTTTTTTACCGCGTGGTGAAGAAGCAAGGAAGAAAAATGGAGGACATTTTTGTTATCAAACTTACCTTTATTGGAAGGTAATATGCTTTATTTAATATCAATCCTTGTAGTAGAGTACTTAGATTGCCAATATAGATGGAAATTTAGGACATCGAGCCCGAACTTAATGCGATATTTCAACATAAATTTGGTGCTTTTGCTTTGCACGTGGTTCGCTTTTAATATGGGCGATTGTCGAACTTTAAACCGTGTTTTAATTCATAATTATTGTCGACCAAGTGAGTAAAAAGACTAAATAAGATCTAGAATTGTTTATGTTGTCGAAAAAAGTTGTTTAATATTTCCGAGTTCTTGCTGAAATTATTTTATTGCCATATACAGAGAGGAGGCGCTTGATCAGAGTGAGACGAATATTTTCATCAGCTTGGACATTTCAATCCTGCAACAAAATATTTCAACAATATGGTGTTTACAATTAAAAATAATTGTGTTTCTTGACTGCAGGATGGTGTAAATTTTGATAGGTGGGGCTTTTCGGTAAGCGAGCTAGAGGCCATGCCATTTAAAATCCACACCCCCCTACGGATGAGGTCAGTAAAATTTTAACCCCTAAGAAAAAAAGATCAAAGTGCCGACACAAAACACCCCTCAGAAATTTGTAAATTTTCCCCTTACCCCTCAGAAAAATTGCAGAGATCAAAGGATGCCGACAGGCTTAACCCCTCAGAAACGACTTTTTGAGTCACCCTTCAGAAAAACTCATCTGTAGGGGGGTGTGTGGACATTAAATGGAATGGCCCCTAGTCAGTGGCGAAGCTGAGGGCATTTGACTAGTCGTTCTCTAAGACCCGCACAGCTTGATTTTCGAAGTCTGGAATGGCCATTTCCTGCGATTTCAGGGTGAAATTTGTGCAAAGAGAGCGACAAAAAAGTGCAATAACTGATAAGAGGAAAATTCTTAATATTATTTCCACAAAATTTAATAATTTCACTATATATATTTCAACTAATTAACTGAAAATTTTGCTCAATATAGCCAATATTGGCCGAAGAAAGAGGAGAATACAGTATTGTATGTATGCATTATGTCTCAATCAATTCCATGGGTGCCCAACACCCCCCCGGGCGTTTGTCGGGCTTTTGTCATTTTGGCGAAAAAACGTTGCAAATGCCCCAGTATGGGGTCCAAATAATGCAACAAAATCCCCACCCTTGGGGACTTACATTGACGCAAATGCCCCAAATGACAAAATATAAGTTTTCAGAGGATTTCTGATCCAAAAAATCGAATCCAAACTCTATCACGTATCAATATATCTGTATTTAAAATCGATTCTTATAGCCATTTCGTTTTAAAACGTTTTTAATTAAAATATTGAAGTCTCAAAACTTTATATAGCAATATCAAACTGCAGAAGTAAGTCAATGTATCAACAGGATGGACAAGAAAAAAGTCTTGTGTATGTCCGCCATGATTAATTTGCGATATGCACGCTTGTGTAAACATGCATACTAAAGTACGGCTAAATGGCGAAACAAGCGATAAATATTCGACTTTTTAGCCTCGAGCAAATTCCCCACCCCAGGGCTAACCTGCAGAAAGCAAATGCCCGACCCTGGGAACAAGTACAGTTGAGAATGCCCGACAAACGCCCGGGGGGGGGATGGGCAACCATGGAATTGATTGAGACATTTAAATACCCTTCTGTAATATATCTTTCTTTTGGAATTGTGCAAAGGGCAACTGTAAGATACTACATTACAACGACGTAAATTTGAAGCAGAAACCTAAACCTAAGATACTTTGTTTAGATATTTGGTATATCTGTAAACCTCCAATTATATAAGCACTCATGAATAAAGCAAATGAACTGGTAGTAAATATTTTATATCAATAGGAAAGGTCTTCACAAATCTTGTTTATATTCGCCATTATATACAGTAGAATACACAATCGAGTCTGTTCACATGCATTTTGTGAGCTAAAATATCTTGTTAGAAGCCAGAAATATTCTACCCAAATCAAAATGGCCTTTCTACGATTTACTCGATTGACGTTGGTCAATTTCCACATATACATAACTAAGATATTACTTGAATAAATCTCGACAGAATTGCTGAATATTAATTTACGGTATTTAATTAACTTGGTCAAATTTTCAGCAAGTTATGCATGTGTGAGGAGCAATTTAGCCAATAGAATGCGTTGGAATGTATAATTTAGTCATGCTCGCCTGACGAGAGCACAACTAACAGGCAGATTACCTGTTAGTCATGCTATTAACCTGCCGTTGGGTGAAACTACGCAATCCTACCTTGAATTGGTTTAAAATTAGAGCAAAATCACTGGATTTGAAAGGATTCCGCACTTAATAGATGACGCAAGTGTACCATAAATCATTTTTGAAAATGGGGGGGGGGAATTTGTTTTAAGACTAAAAAATTATTTTCTTTGAAAAATGTTTAGTCGTGCCCAGCACGACCTCTAGCTTCGCCACTGGAGCTAGTAAGTTAGATTAATTTGAAGTTTGTAGGCTTTTGAAGTTTGTATGGTTTGAAAAGAAGATTGTTCTTTTGAAGCACATCTACTGCAGGCTCAAAAATATGCAGTCACAGTGTAAAGCTTTTTTTCGACATGGGCTGGCAAGGATTCAGAGAATGCTAAAAAAATAAAAAGGACCGTATTTGTTAAATTTAAAAGCATATTGACTTGATTTACTGGTATTGCAAATGCCTGGAGGCAAAATTAAAAAGTTAAAAAAAACTTCCAATCAAATTTTAACATTTCCAATTGTTTAGCATTTTTCTGGTCAATTTTGAAATTATTAAAAATATGTGTTTCATATCCTTGAAGAGCACAAATTTTTGTCAAATATTTTTTGGCTTGACATTGGTCAGCAATTGCTATAATTATGATCATTTGGCATTACCACAATATATAAACATCTCAAGATGCAATAACTGTGGTAAACAACCCAACCACAAAAATCATTAGAGCAGAGAAAATATGGTTGGCTGGAAAACCGGAACATTGTTTCAGGGTCTGATGTTCATATTGAGTTTTTCATTGTGCTAGCCAAGCTATTTACACCCTCAGTAAAATTCTCATAAATTTTTGTAGATGTGCAATGCAAGTTCCAAGAATGTTGCAAGACCTCATGATTATGGAAAATGGACACATTCCAAGATCTTGAATAAGAGGTAAATTATTTTTCTTCAAATTATTTCTAACCTCCTCCTTGTATTTCTTGGACAATTTTCTTTGTAATATATTAATTTGTTTCATGTTCTTATTGGTGAGTTTTTTAATTTTTTAGATGTGTCTTGCAATTTCAAAGAATGTCTCAAGTTGTTGGCCGAAGTGTTCTTGATCACAAAAATGAACACTGTCATTGGAAAGTATATAAAAGGTCTTAATATTTTCCTGTCTTATCTTACATGAAATGTTTTGAACATTATGTGATGGCTTGTGATCAATAGATTAAAAAAAACCCAGCAGAATATTCCAGAAATGACTTGATTTAAGTTTCCTGTCACTGATCACAAAAATTCTATAATTGTCAAAGCATATATTAGCATTTTATGAGCAAACCAAAAATGACAAACTGTCTGTGTTTTTGAAAAATTTTGCTTAAACAGTAATGATTTTGAGTTTATCTGTGTTCTATCTGAGAACATAGTTGTTTCTACATATTTTCAAAGTTTTTGTCAAATATAAAAAAGTGAAAAGTTTGTTAGTTTTTGGCTTTGTTACATCAGTTAAACATCGAGAAGATTGAGGTGGTTTTTATTACAAACCAAAGCGGTTACTTACAAATTTATAAGACATGTAACTTTATTTCAGGATTGAGTCATCATTTTAGTCATGTTTGTTTGAGTATGTTTTCATTAATTAAGGGACATCAATTTGTGTTTTGAACTTGTGAAAGTGCAATTGTGAACACAGTAAACTTATGTTCCATCTCAATCTTCTCTTGTTTAAGTGGACTTTCGGTGTTTGTTGAAAGTTTGGAAAGTGTATCTGAAAATCACAATCTTTCATTCAATGTTGATGCTGGATGTTTTGAAATATTGAATTCTACAAAAAGCGATTAGTGATCAATTGAAGTATACAATACTTTTAAAATTAGCACTGTTAGAACTGCCTTGTTCTTTAATAGTCCTGTCTTATTTATCTCAGTACACTCTTAATACATGAGTTTGATTATTCCTGGACACAAATAATATGGATTTGTTGAAGAACAAAGCAGTTTTATACAGTACTGACTATAGAAGGGTTGTGTTCTTCAGTTGTTGTTTTTTTTTTCTATTCTTGTTCCAACCACATTGTGGTTTTTAACAAAATTTGAATTTTGGAACAAACTTTGTGATTATAAAAAAACTTTCCCAACTTTAAAACAAACAATTAAGATCAAAATAAACTAGGATATTGCCCTTATTAATTACAAAGTGGAACTTACTTGGATACAGATGAACTGAAGCAGCGAACTATATTTAATTTGGGGGGTAATGTGAGATGGAGAAAATAAAATAAAAACAATCTTCAACAGATGAAAAACAATCGGCAATGGAGGAAAAACAATCGGCAATGGAGGAAAAACAATCGGCAATGGAGGAAAAACAATCGGCAATGAAAAGTATATATTAATTGTTTGGTAAAACAATCCAATAATTGGAATATTGAAGCTGAAGATAAGATCGACAGCTCTTTCTGCTACATGTACTGTATGTGGGCTTTATATACGGTACATTAATCAATGCATAATTTGATAAGATTTAAATCAAAATTCAAGCATGGAATTAACCATATTTTTAGTATTCATCAAAATTTGTGTGTGTTTCATCAAACATGAGATACAATGATTGAGATGCTCAATGATGAAGTACCAAATTTTATAATCTGAATAAAAAGTTCTTGCTTTTAAAATATTATTTTTATTTAAATAATCTGATTGAGCTATGATAAATCCTAATTTATTTATAAGTGTGAAATTTTTAAGCGTGAATTTCATATTTTATTTCGAATCAGTTCAACTAATTTCGTACTTTGGTTTGGATACTAACTGAGATGACAAGATTTATAGTTTTTATTCGCTGGTTGTGGTTAATAATTGTTTGGTTAATAATTGTTTGGCAATTAAAATTAATTTGTTAGTTTTCTATGTTTGCATGTAGTTCTTTTGCTTCAGTTCAACATTATTTTCAAATAGTTCCACTTTGTAATGGTGTGTTATAATAGTCATAATAATAATAATATAAGCAAACAGGTTTACATGGCACTTGAACATGGTCTTTTCACCGAGTATGTAAAGGTAAGTTTATACTTCAAAAATGTCTGTTTTAACCTGACAAGAATGCTGTCCAAAATTAACTAAAACTCGATCTTTGTGACTTTCAATGAAATTTCATATGTTCAATTGACAACTGCTACTACTGTAGGATATCTTTTGATGTTTGTGTTTGGTTTGCTGTTGATACTAGAAATTGATGAAAATGCAATATAATATTTGTTTACAAGTTGAGAGAGATTCTAGATTCTAAGGATTTTTATGGAAACCGATTGTTCCTTGTGAGGACTTGAGCAAAACTGTTTGTCTACTTTCGAGTTAGCAAAGTATATCCAAAACTTATTTCCTGTTTTTCATTATGCAAAACCGTAAGCTCTTTCCAATTGAAAATTTTTGATTTTGACCAATATAAATAAAAGTACAAAAAAATAAGAAAATATTTTATGAAAATTTGAAAGTTTGGTTAAACCATATTTTGGTGTGTTTCTGTACATGGTCGCTACATGTTTTGCATAAAAAATATTTCCTGAAGTATTTTTTAAAATATATAGATAAAATAAAACAGGACAACTTTTCCCTAAGTGGAATTTATTTAGGAGATGTTTGTTTGTAAAGTAGTAGATCAATGTCTATCATTATTTGTCGACGACGAGAAATGTACCATTTTCTTAAGCAAAGCAAATTGAAACTGAATTTTTGTTTGAAAAATCAATCCGAATTGGAGAAATAACCTCTTTTAAAATTTTGTTGACTGCATTTTCATCACTTGAATTAGTATTAACATTATATGTATAATCAATTCAAAGTTGTCAGGTTAAAATCGACGCTCAAAGATATATGGCTCCGAAAGACTGCAAGATAATTTCAAATTCTCAAATATTTCTTGTTTTGGCACTTGAAAGAAATGTTGGTTGTATTAAAAAAAAGTGTAAAGCATGTTCGATTTACTTCGTCTTTCAGCCATATATTTTCTTGGTAAAACAACCTGGTGTTTTAATAACGCCTTTGGATTTCTCCGTCAGACTTGTAAAATTTATCATTAGAGTTGTTTTACAATATTTGAAGTATAAACATTTATCTTGAAAAGACCAGGTTCTCTTGTTGCCTTAAGAATTAACTTTTTTAATGTTAATTCGCGGGCAAACAAGTTTTTAATGTTGTGTTTATACTTGTGCTTATTCACTTGTGTTGAACACAATGTTAATTGTTCTCTTTGTGCCATGTTCTGTTTTCTTCTATTGTTATTTAAATAAGTATATGCAGTGGTTGTTCTCTTTTTATTGTTATTCAAATTGTAATATTTACAAATTCTTTTCAATAAATTGTTCATTAATTATACAAAAGACTCCTTTTTAATTAAAAATTCAATTCCCATGGGAATTGGAAAAAAAAATAAAAAAAATCTCCCTACCCCGGCCGGCTCCCCAAGTACTACCTCTATTTCAAGCAGAAGTACTTCTACTATATAGTAGAAGTGCTTCTACTTAAAGTAGAGGTAGCACTCGGAGAGCCAGCCGGGGTAGCGGGGCGAAGAGAAGACCAACCTTGCAAATGCAAAATAATGCAAATTGCTAAGTCGATCTTCTCTTGAGAGCAGCCACGCGCATACCTGACAAATGTAAAACAACACGCATTAGTAACAAATACTCGACATGCAAATTTTGAATCCCATGGCCGAAATGACAAGTGCCCCCCACTGATTCCTACCAACTGCCTACCTGCCTCAGTCCTAAGCTGTCTGCCTCGGTCCTAAGCTACCTGCATTCCATTCGTAACTTCCGCTTTCCTCCCCATCACACAGACACTCCCAGCTGCCCAACCTGCCACCAGCCCGAACTGCCCACCCTTAAAACTGAAGGAATTAAAATTTCGGCAAGGTATACATAATTAATTTAATTAATCGGTATTTTAGGCGAAATGTAAACAGATAAATTAAAGGTTGACGATTAAGAAAGACCGCTTACACAAACAGGTGAGTTTCTTACTTTTCTATTCATGAAATTTACATAGAAAAATATACGAAATCTCACAATATGCTTTACTAGCAGACTATAATTTTCGTTTAAATAGCGAAACTCGACAAATTTTGTTTATGTTAGGAAATTAGTCATTTTGTTCAGAAAAGATATATTTTCTCTCTAAATATTGCTGTCAAAATTTTAATTCCTTTAGTTTAACCTAACCCCATGCATCCTACACACACGGCGCACACTCTCGCACTCCATACATTTAGCTAATAAATTACGTTATAAAAAGAAAAGCAAAATAAAAAGATAAATTACGTTATCACTAGCTATCCCATAACCCACTTAGACTGAGTTTTGGATTCTGGTTCGAAACGTAAAATCTTAACTGAAAGGGCATGGGCTTGAGTTTTGTTAACTGCTCCGAAATAAATACAAACCTTAAACTTACCTAAATGAAAAGCTTGATTAAATAAGCATGAGAATGCATATAGTTTTTTTAAAAACTTTTTCATAGAGTTTAAAATCCAAACGAAAATTACTGTTTGCCTATGTAGTTCAAACAGATCGAAACAGACTTAACCGCAATTCTCATACTCATTTAACCGGAACGCCTTGATGATCATTTGCATGGCACGTCGCAGCTGCTCTCGAGTAACAAGATACTTATCATATTTAATCAAAGAGGATTCATTATAAATTCAAATTTCCACTATGAAATCAACATCAACATGAAAACAAAGCATAGCATATTCCCCTGGGAATTGAAAATACGGAAAAAAATAAAATTGCCAAATACCTTTTGATTGCTCTAATAAAAAGAATTAGCATAAAAACAAAGTATAGCTTATTCCCATGGGAATTAAACATACGAAAAATAATCCACCAATTCTTAACTTTTTAACGCTTGAACTAATAAGGTTGCTTGTTTTCATCGTATGTTGATTTCATTGTGAATATAAGCAGACTTATCCCATAGTTAAACTGACGATGAAAAAGAGGAAATGCTTGGTGCTAGACTCCAAGCCATGTTTATTTTACATTAACTATGGGTGACGCGGATTAATATTTTGTTTTCAGAGAAGACTACAATCGAAAATATTCCAGGCAAGATTTCGTGCTTTTAAGGTATTGTTGCTTCGATCTTTTTTATACAAACAGTCCTCTCTACCATCAATTTTGGAAACTTGTTTGTTGTTTTCAAAAAACTTTGATGAAATGATATCTTATCATACAGACTCTAGATCGTCACAAAAAACACTGCGTTATCGCGTTTTTGAAAGTTTTACCCAAACGTTTGACCTAATTTTGAGGGCAATATATTATTTCTATACTCCGAAAATTGGAAAAAGTCGAAAAATTCGCCAAACCTGCAGCGTGTTTAATTTCAAATTTTTCAATGAGAAAATCATTGTATTCACTTGAATCCCCTTTGATCTTTAAATAAGTATTTTGTCTTTAACTAACTTACATTGGTAAAATTTTTTGCTACTTTCACAACAGCAATCAGTTGTGGTTTCCGATTGTTGCGATCGTCATTCTTTTCTTGGCTCCATGCCATTCGCGAGTGGCTCTTTTTGGTCTTTTCATCATCTCTTTTCATCACATCAAAATTTCATCACATCACCTTTTGAAATTAAAAAAGTATCCATGAGTCCATGAAATAGGATTGAATCATGTTATTTATTTTAAGGCTTGAGTTATATTGCCAGGATTTTTTTATTAGATTATTCAGTCCTCGCAAATTTACCAAATTATCGCAGACAAAAAATTGCCTCGCTATTTTAGGCTTCGGCCCAAATTCAACGGCATTTATGTCCACTAATAACAATTTTGAATTGCGTGGTAATTAATTGATCATTTAAAACGTGGTATATGTAATAATGTCGCTGCCTTGTCTGCGAGTCACTATATGACCGGTTTCCATGAAGTAGTGCGTCGCGACTAACAACGCTCAGACCAGAAGCTCATATCCCATCCCCCTTTGCGCGCTTATGATGTGACGCACTACTTCATGTAAACCGTTCATATAGTGACTCGCATGAAATCTTTTTATTAGCTATAGTGTCTGGGAACCAGGCAGATAATGTCGATGATAGCCTAGATCTAGCTGGGGCCCTTTACTCAGTTGGTTTTGGCAAGTTTTGGTTAATTTTGGGCTGGCATTTGTTAAGTATCACGTGACATGCATTTGCCATCTTCCGGACCGCCCATAAAGCGCGTGGGGTCCCAATCTTCTCGTGTGAAAAAGCACGGAAATTTAAAATAGAAGGTCAAGGTTCAGCCTGATAGAGTGTTTTACGTGACGTTAGCACAACCCTGTGGGGGAAGGGAGGGCGCCAGGGGGAATAAGAGTTTGCGTTAGTATTAGGGTTAGTGTGGGGGTTAGGTGTGGGGTGAGGGTACGGGTAAGGTTTAGTATTGTTGCAAGTGGATGGTTGTTGATTCTTTTACGTTTTAATGATTTAAACTTGAACTGGCGGTCTTCCCCTTTAGCCACGACTTTGCCATTACACGTCACCCATTACTTCTTGTTGAAACAACAAAAAGATAGGAATTTTGTTTGCGCATGCGTCTAAGTTCGCGCGGTGAACAGACAGGAGATTTTGGCCTAGTTTTTTCCAATGACAAAATATTGTTATTTAATGCTTCGTTGGGAAATAGGGAAAGGCAGGCGAAAGTTTGGAAACAAAAAGTATAAAAATCAAGCTTTTACTATACGTAACTTTATAGATCGGAAATCTTCGGATAGCGACGGAAAATCACGAATTTTCCTGTACATTTTTGCGAAATCTGCTGTTCATCAGGTGTGGCCAGAAAAGAATTCGAAAACTTGTTTTTTTAAAAATGTTTTTAAAATAATTTTTCGAATGCGCCTAAAATTATTGGCAAGCTAACGCGGATAAAATTCTTACCTGTTGAAACAACAAGAAATAAGGATAGTGCACGCGATACTTAATTATCGAAACAACGTTTTGGAATTATAGTTGTTGGTATAGGCATTTGTGTGTAATCTGAAAAAGACCAGCACGAGTGACGTTTTCAAAGACGATCGATATTGCACGAGTCTGAAGCACGAGTGCAATTTGAAAACTTCGAAAAACTCACGAGTGTATATTTTTCCAAATTGTGCGAGAAACCATACTATTACTTATTAATAATAATAATAATAATAATATAATAATAATAATATTAATTAAATTGAAACTAAATAGTGGCAAAACGGAGCTTATATTAGTCCATTCACGCTATCATCTGATGCCTCCCTTAAATTATATCATGGTGGGAAAGGAAAAAATTGTGCCAACTGTTTCAGCAAGAAATCTGGGGGGGATTTTTGATGAGTGGATCAGATTGGGCGAACATATTAATGGTATCTGCAAGTCAGCTTACTACCATATTAGGAATATTTCAAGAATTAAGAAGTATCTACCTCGAAATTGCTTAGAAATAATTATTCATGCATTTATAACTTCAAGACTGGATTATTGTAACTCCCTGTTGTATGGTGTACCCAAATATTTGCTTCAGAAGCTTCAGAGAGTCCAAAATACTGCAGCTCGTTTACTAACTGATACTAAGAAATCGGCGCATATCACCCCAGTTCTTATCGAATTGCATTGATTACCTGTCCAATACCGTATTCAATTCAAGATTATACTTCTTGTCTACAAAGCTGTTAATGATCTTGCTCCATCGTATCTGAAGGAACTTATGCTGTGTCGTACTTCGCAGCGTACTCTTCGATCAAATGGAAATGAATTGCTCCAGATTCCTTATTCTAGACTAAAGACATACGGAGACAGATCGTTCTGTGTTGCTGGACCAAGATTGTGGAATGATTTACCTGTTCATCTTCGGATGTGTGAATCATTAACCACTTTTAAGAAGTTTCTTAAAACATATCTTTTTAACTTGTTTTTAAATAGTGTATGATGTATTCTATAGTTTTAACATTCTTAACACTAGTTTTTAAGATTGGATTTTGTATTACTGTAAAGTGCCTAGAACAGTCTTGGTTTGTGCGCTATATAAATGTTTTTTATTATTATATTATTATTAATATACATGAAAAAATTATACAGAAGCATATTCGTGGTCACTTCCAGGCACGAAACCCATGCGAAGTAAATAATTTAACCTGTCCATTTAAATGACCCAGCAACTTGATACAAGATTTGTCAGCTGTCAAAATGTGTTTTTGTTTTGCTGTTTTCGAAGTATTTCGTATTGGCAGTGTGTTTCTTTTTTGGCATTGTATTTCAATCGGAGTGGAGAACATTTTTTCATGTATATGCATGCATGCATGTATTTCAAAAGTTTTAGAACATCACTTACATCTATATTAATCATTTTTGCATTTTCGTTGTTTCTGTTGATCGGGCATCGACGTTCAGTTGATGGATGGGTCCATGTCATCTACCATTCCTTCATCTTAATTCAATCGTGTATTGTCTTTTCTTGGATGATCTAGTTGTCTTCACTTCGCATTTGTCTTCTCTTCGTACAAGCACGTAGGAAGCGCCTTCATGTAAAATTTCTTTTTCCTAAAGGATAAATAAACATTTATTTGAAACAGTTATTTTATTCAAAATGTTTGAAATAGTTTTTCGGTTTTTAATAAGAAACGATTAAAAATCGCTGGCATCATTTTTAATTTTCTTTTACCTTGATAAAACTTGTGTTACTCTCATCTTGGCGATGTTGTATAGGATCTCTTGGTTGTAGGTCTTCATCTGAAATGGAAGGATATTTCCCATCAGTAACAAAATAGATTGAATAGTTCACTATACACATGTTATAGGAAACATTTACTTATTTACTTCTAAAGATAGGAATGCTAAAATTTCTTTAAATTTTAAGTACATAAAAGTCAGGGTACAGCATATCACA